CTGGAGCTGCTTGTGCCAGCACTGCTACAGAAAAAATGCCTGTTCATCCATCTGTTCCTCAAAGGATCATTTGTAAAGGCTTTAGTGAGGGCTGACTGTTCTGGGCAATTTCTGTAACTGAAAAAAGGAAAAATACAGCAATCTTAACTATAAAAGCCGTAGTGCGAGATAATACCTCAATAAAAATCCTGTATGACTTAAGGATATTAACGTACATCAAAGAAAAAGCTAGTATTATTTTCACAGTTGTACATTAAAAAATTCATGGGCATTTCTGAAAGTTATTGGATTATTCCAATATATAGGAATAATATGGTGAAAGATGAACCAGCTGCTGTTATCCAGCCATTTACAGAAACAGTGCACTATTTCAATTTACAGTAATCTTGCATTAAAGGAAATTTTTTTTTTTTTAATATTTTTTTAAATCAGAGCTCAAAATACCTAACGGAGAAGAACATCTTTGAACAGAAAGAACATGCTGAAGCTCCATTTCCATTTTATGAGCAAGAGTATAAAAGTTTGATCAAGTGGTCACTTATCAGAAAAGTTGCACTTTCAAACAAAAGGGGCAGACTCACAGAGCTATTAGTGATACACATCTGTTAAAAGGTTTATAATGGCTACAGTTCCATGGATGCTTTTAGTGTGTGCACTCAGCACTGCTACTGTAGTGAGTACTCCTGCCCTTTCCCTTCGGCCAGCACGAGTATTTGTACAGGTAAGTGGTTTGGAGAAACTGACTGGAGCTGAGAGTCAGCCTTTTTTTGCCCAGGGTAACAGATCCTTGTATTGGTTCACTACACAGGAACAGTTGTGCAAGCAAAAAAAACCAAACCAGAATGTTATTGTACAAAATGCAGTGAACCACCAAAATACTAAGACCTTGCTCCCACCCCCGTGCTCCTGTCACTTATCTTACATTAGCTCCAGCACTCCTGAAATTCCTGGATAGAATTATTGAGCAGCAATGTAGATTTATCCTGGATTAAAGAAACTGTATAAACATGGCTATGGTTGTATTGTTATTGCCAATTACAGAATCATGCAATAAAAAAGGCCAGCCCTAAAATCATGTGTAGATTATACTTTCTAAAAATATGGTTTTACATTCTATTTTCTTCCTTTCACTAAAATCCTAGCATTACTAGAATTAAAACAGGGCTTTCTTGGGTCTCTTTGCTCTCTTCTAGCTGTAAGATCTGTAAAAGGTAATAACTACAGCTGCATCAGAACTGCTGGAAAAGAAAGCTAAAACTTATTACTTAGTTCTTCAGGAAAAGGATTTCAAGACTTACCTAGATGTGTTCCTGAAAGTCTTATGAGGACAGTAGCATATCAAATTCAGTGCAACAACAACACAGTACATACTGAAAAGCAGCTGGCTGTGATTTCACCAAATTGTTGAAAAGATATATAGAACAGTTACTTGACATTGTAATTAAATCCTTAGTTTGACTTCTACCATGATTTGTTGGCAAATTTTGAACAATGAGGAGATCTGACCCTAAGCCAGATCATCTTGCTGAGACTAAACTCTACTTTTGAATGAGTGAACCAAAAAATACATACTAACCTGATCTGAAAATATACAGGCAAGTTCCATTTGTTGTTAAAGCTGTGGTAAGAGGGATGAGATCTCAACCGTTTCACACTGGCCTGGGAACCACACTGTCGTTCAAACTTACGCACAAAATCCATACTAGTGGTGTACTTCTGCAGAAAGAGCGTAAGCATTCTGATCATGCAAAGGGTCCCAGCAAACAAGGAAGGCCACCACCCATCCAGCAGAACTCTTGTATCACACTACAGTTAAGCTCAAGGTTCAGAATGGGCTGACACTGCCCCCTTCACCTAATCATACAAGGCTAAAATTCTGGATTGCAGTGAGACTAAAACAAATTAACCAGTAGGTGTTATTCTGTGGTAAGGAAAACTAGGGCAGGACACTTCTAAAAAATGTAAAATTGTCCAAGTCCCCTGAACAAGCAAAACTGATCAGAGAGATGCATCAGTATTTCTGAGCTGAACCACTGAGGTGGAACAACAGTGTTGCACAGTACTAAGAACAGAGTCAGTCACAGGAGATAAAGGGAAACAACAAACAGAAATAATCAGGAACAAAACTCAGAAGCACACAGAACCAAACACACATGAGAATCAAAGGATGATATCTTTTCTGTTATATAGAACCTGTATTATAGGAATTTCTAGAACTGTTTCCCTAAAAATCTGTTTTGCAAATACTAAATATTTGCAGAAGAACTCTAAACAAATTTCAGATAAGCTAACTTTATCCAGTGTATACTTCCAATAAGATGTTTACAAATAGTATTAAGTCAGTTGCAAGCAAAGAGAAATCATATCAATCTTCAAATGCATTGTGGGCTTACTCTCATTAGTACCTTAACAACACCCTGAAAATAATGAAATTATAAATTAAATCATACACAAAGCACAAAGTCAAACACTTGAGCAAAAAACAGAAGCAAAACAGTGCATAAAAACATTACTTCACACAGAATACAAGTTATGTAAATCAATTTAAAATCAAAATACAGCTACAGTTAAAATCTACCCCTCTGCCATGAAAAACAGTTTGGCTTCTGTGCAAGTTTATTCTATAAAAAAAAAAAAAGAGAGAGAAAACAACCATAAAACATATCATAGATGCTCATTAAGCCAGTGCTGAATTAATGAAATAAGCCTGACTGGATCTCTCAGTGCTTCTGACTTCATTGCAGAAAGGACAGCAGTGGGGCTGCAGCAGCAAAGCTTCTACCACAATCCAGAGCACTACCCGAGTGATGTGATTTTGCCTCTTATGAAGCTGTAAAACATTCTCAGGGGAAGCCCCTGACTTGGTGCTTACAGGTTCTGCTCTCAGAAACTCTCCTGCGACCACAGGACACAGCTGCCTTGGAAGGTCATTCGAGACAGTCAGCATGGCTTCACCGAGGGTAAACCTTGCCTGACCTACCTAGTGGTCTTCTATGATGTCCACGACTACATCAGTGGACAAGGGAAAAGCTAGGGGAAGAATTAATTACTATGAAAATGTCCTGGTTTTTAGCCTGAAAACCAGGACAAAAATTAAATGAAGTGATTTGAGATCACCTCCCCTCCTGAGCCATGCAACAACATGAATTTACACAAGAGCAGCAGAGAAAAAAGCTAGAAAAAATGACTCATTAAATTCTTGTGTGTGTCAAAGAAATCACAAATGGAAAAAATTAAAATTAGTTACCTCATGAAACACATCTGGGTTTCCAGGGTTAAACAGTGATGGCAACTTCTCTTCTAAACCGTGTACTATTTCTGGCCACACTGAATTCACTAAGAAATCATACCCAGGAACAATATCTGCTTTTTCACTGAAATAAAATTGCAATTATTCCATGGTTATATTTTACCACCATGCTTCTATTGGAGGTAGGGATAACTAAAAAGACATGCACTGCATTAGACAAAACACAATGAAGTTTTTTACATAGGTATGCTGATTCCCTTAAACTATTCTTCCTTCCAGGTTTCACATCTGATCCCACAGTCTCACCAAATGCAAGGTAGTTTTTATAACTCTCAAAAGAGTTTTAAAATTTTACCAGTTATCTATTTTGCAAGTCTCTTCTGGAAAATGAGTAGATTTCAGCTGAGAACTCCTATTCTTACTTCTATATTTCAAATTTTAACAGCTCCAAACTTCAAAGAGGTACCAAGTAAGAGTAATGTGAGCAGCCTGGTCTAGTGGAAGATGTCCCTGCTCATGGCAGGGGGGTTGGAACTGGATGATCTTTCAGGTCCCTTTCAACCCACCATTCTGTGATTCTATGATTCTAATGCAATGGAAAGACGCAGAACTTTTTCATAATTGTTCCAAGCTGCATTTATACATGATATTGTGCTTTGAAGCAAAAGATTAAAAGCTACCTTGATTACTTAAATTTATATATTAAGAACAGAAGAGAGACAAGCATTTAATTCCAGTTCAGTACACCACAGCACAAAGTAGAAACATTCCATTATTAAGAAGAAAGATTAAAATTTGCTGAGGGATTAAAAGACTTCAAATGTTAGTAAAACTGAGGAGTCATAAAAAGCTCAGCAATGGATGACTAATTAGAAAAGTAATTCTGCAGTCCCTAGGGGCTACATCCATAGTTCTGCTAATTACAGCAGTCTAGTGTATTAACCAGCCTGCAAACAGATGAATAAATGGATACAATTCAGTAGACCTGAATTATTTAAACTTCAAAACAGGCAATTTAATTGCATAAGGAATTAAGCATTTTTGGAGAAGACAGTGGAAGCACAAATCAATTAAACCTGTAGTTCCAGTACATGCAATAAATCAGTCAAACTTCTGGGGATCATCCCCACTTTTCTGATCTACAGTAACAACCCAATAAATTTGCTGTATGTATATTTTGAATGTATATTTTTAAATAGCTTTATTCTGCCCTTCTCCTTGGATGAAGTGTACAACTACGATTCATGGATCCAAAAAAACCAAGGTATCTGGCACACTGTGTTATGAAGAGTACTC